AATTTTATGTTGTTCATGTTTATTTTTAGGTTAATAAGGTATTCTAGATACATAGAGATTATATTTAGTATAGATAGTATAATCTTCAGCCTCTTTAAAGAGCTGTAGAAAATGGCCTTTAAGCTAACCTAGAATTCTGTGCCGAGACACAATTACTCCTGGCGACACCACTCTACTCCCGAGAGAACGTTGAGCACCAAAGACACTCCACTGGGAGTTTGTCTTCTTGGCAGAATTGGCCTTTGGGTTAAGAAAAGCCCATACCTCATCTACTGACAAAGATATGAAACAGGATTTTCTTATCTTGCCAAGACAGGGTAGGATAATTCTAAGAAAATTCCTTGCATTTGATAATGGTATGTCAGTCATGCTAGGCCTTAGCCAAAGTTGGTTGACTCAACATTGCGAACGAGAATTTGGGTGATTGCCCAGGTAGTCTGTTGTCTCTGTCATTTATGGCACGCTTTGGATATCGCTCATTTGTTAAGTAATATTTATTCCCTTCTCGGATCTTTGACGGAGTTGAAGATTATATAATTGTAATTACTCTCTACATTATTTAGACTCCTTGAGATAGAATGTCTGGTAAAACTTTTGTTCTCAATATAGTTTGTTATATCTATTATTTATTTTTATTGTTTATAGTTGTATTTAGGTTAGTTCTGTCTTATTTAGACAAAAGGAGGGAGATGTAGGGATAAGCCCTCCCCTTGGGGGCGGGCTGCCCTCAGGCGTATGTTTACTGATATATTCTGCTGCGCGCCCCTTCCGCGCTCTCTCCTGTTTCCGCTGGCCACTTCGCTGGAACCTTGGTTTTGTGAGTCTGGTTTTGTTATTAAATTTGTTTAAATATCAATTACTGGTGATTTATTGATCCGACCGCTGCACACCATGGCCAAGGCAACTTGAAAATAAAATTTAACTGGGCTTCTGGTTTAAGAGAGTCCATGATGGCAGCAGAAACTACTGAGAGCTCATGTCTCTTTTTTTCTTCACCCTTTTATTGAAAATATATTCTTGCTGGGCAGTGGTGGCACATGCCATTACTCCCAGCACTCTGGAGGCAGAGGCAGGAGGATCTCTGTGTTTGAGGCCAGCCTGGTCTACAGAGTGCGTTCCAGGACAGCCAGGGCTACACAGAGAAATCCTGTCTCAAAAATACATTGTTTTCTCATACCTCCTGATTGGTTTCCTCGTCCTCTACTCCCAGTTCCTTCCCCCCCCCCCCTCCGCCCATCCAAATCCACTCCCTATCTGTTTCTCACAGAAAAGAGCAGGCTTCTAAGAGAAAACAACCAAACATGATCAAATAAAGTATAATAGGATAAAACAAAAACTATCACATTGAAATTGGGCAAGACAAACTTATAGAAGGAAAAGAGCCCAAGAGAAGGCACAGGAATAAGAGATTACTCGTTTGCCCATAAAAACATATGTGGAAGCCATAATATATTCGCAGAGGACCTGGTGCAGACCTGTGGAGACCCCGTGATTGCTGCTTCAGTCTCTGTGAGCTCCTATGAGCTTGCTCTGTTGATTCAGAGGGCCTTGTTCTGGTGTCCTCCATCCCTTCTGGTCCCCATACCCCTTCCACCAACTCTTTCTCAGGGTTCCCTGAGCTATGAGGGGAAGAATTTGATGGAAACAAATTATATATCATGACATAAGTGTATCATTAGGAGCCATTACATCATTACATTTTTTAAAAAAGGCCGTAGTATTTGAAGGGCTCAGATAGACCGGGGCATAGAAAACATGGCTCTGGTATGCCTTGCCTTTCTCCCATATCCTCTGCCTTGTTAAACTCTTAGATCATGTTCCTAAACCGAGCCACCAAAGTGCATTGCCTTATTTGACCACTTCCTCCTCTTAAGACTGACCTCCAGTTATCAAAGTATTAAAGTCCAGCAATCAAAAGTCCCTTTTGGCTCAACTAATTAACATGCCTGATCAAACACAAACCAACTCATCTTAACACAGGGTTTCCCTCTATCTTTATGAACTGCCATTTGCCTTCGGCCACATCTGTCTCCTCTCTGTCCAGAGTGGTCCTTTGTCCCTCTAGGGCAAATATCCCTCCCCTTGTCACTTACTCCTTTTCCATCCTCATCCTGCATCCTGTATCCTCTGTCTTTGTCTCCTATTCCCTGCCCTTTGTCCTCCAGGCAAATAAATCTCCTTTGTGTTGAGAACTTGATCTTGGTGTGTCTTGTGCCCACACCAGTCCATTCAGAGCAGTTTACGTTAGGTTCCTGGGCTGTCTAGTCTGGTTCTTGGTCACCCCAGCAGTATTGGATATGGGTTGCATCTTGTGGCATGGGACTTAAGTCAAATCAGATATTGATGGTTACTCCCTCAAGATTTCTGTCACAATGGCCCTAGCATATCTTGCAGGCAGGACACCATTGTCGATAAATGGTTTGTAGCTGGTTTGGTGTTCTGTTTCTCTTGGTAACATACAGAACACCTTCCTGTTGCAAGGAGCTGCTTGTTGGTTCCTGGCCACCCGGCTAGCTTAGACCCAAAATAATCACAAAGAAACCACATTATTTAAATCACTGCTTGGCCCATTAGCTCTAGCTTCTTAATGGCTAACTCTTACATCTAATTTAACCCATCTGCATTAGTCTGTATATCGCAGCCACATGGCAGTGGCTTACCAGCAAAGTTTCAGCATGTCTGACTCTGGGTGCGGCTCCATGGTGTCTCCCTGACTCTGCCTTCCTTCTCCCAGCTTCAGCCCAGTTTCCCCCACCCTACCCCCACCACCTACCTGAGTTCTGCCCTATTAACAGGCCAACACGGTTTCTTTATTCATTAACCAATAGAATCAATACATAGAAGGACCTCCCACACCACCTTCCTGTACCAACGACACTAGGACAGAGGGTGAAGGCTCTGTAGGCTCCGATCTGACTTCCCCACATGCTCACACACTTCCTTTGTTCATTTGTTTCTGCCCTTATGATGCCTTTAAATAGATGGATTTTCATGACTCAGGCCATAAAATTTTTAATTTATATTTACTTACTTACTTGCTTTACCAAGACAGTTTTTCTCTGTTTAGGCCTGGCTGTCCTGGAACTCACTCTATAGGCCAGATTGGCCTCCCAGAGATCCACTTACCTCCGCCTCCCGAGCGCTGGGACTAAAGGCCTGTGCCACGGTGCTCAGTTTCCGATTTCCATTTTTGTGTCATTAAAACTTTTATACAGCACTGGGCAGTGGTGGCACATGCCTTTAATCCCAGCACTTGGGAGGCTGAGGCAGGTGGATCTCTGAGTTTGAGGCCAGTCTGTTCTACAGAGGGAGTTCCAGGACAGCCAAGGCTACCCAGAGAAACGCTGTTCAAGAATTTAAATTAAAATGTTATACAGAAAAAAAAATATATCTAATAACACAATTTCAGCCACACAGGCACCATACTGAGTCATGATTTAATAGTTAAGATTTTGGCATAAGAGCCCATTAGATGACTCAGCAAATAAAGGAGTTTGCTGTCAAGCTTTATGACCTGGGTTTGAGCCCCAGTACCACACATGATGGAAGGAAAGAACCCATTCCTGAGCAACCCATTCCTTACCCACCCACCCATCCCACACACACACAAATAAATGTAACTTATAAATTTTTTTTAACATCTTGATATGGGAGAGGGAAGACTTGATGTTCCTATGACTCAAAGATAACTATCACGAGATTCCTTTTCATGTGCAGATTTTCATGTATGAACATCTGCCTAGATATGTAGACGTCAATTATGGCATGAAAACTAAGAGGGGACTATTTATTTGGAAGGGGGAGGAACTAGAAGAAAGTAAGACGTGTGGTGATATTTTGTTTGTGCTTTAGCAAATAAAGTTTACCTGAAGATCAGAGTGCAGAGCTAGCCATAGAGGCCAGGCAGTGGTGGCACACACCTTTAATTCCAGCACTCGGGGGAGACAGAGGCAGAGTTCAAGGCCACTCTAAAAGAGAAAAAGTGCCGAGCCAAGCAATGGTGACTCACTAGGGAGGTGGAGACTGGAGTGATATAGCTGGGCAGAGAGAGGAATATAAGGTAGGAGGAGACAGGAGCTCAGGGCGTTCAGTCTGAGGATTTGTGGAGACAGGGCCTTGCCCACTTTGGTCTGAGAATTCAGTAGAGGTAAAAGGTCTCTCTAAACCTTTGAGCGTTTACCCTGATATCTGTCTCTGGGTTTTTCTTATTAAGACTAATTAGAATTCGCGCTACAGGAGTCAGCATGGTCAAAGTGTGTTATATATTTCCTGAAATCCTTCACTGCACAACAAATATATACTAACGAGATACCTTTTTTAATTTGTGTATACATTGGTGTTCTGCCTGCACATATGTATGTGTGAAAGTTTTGGATTCCCTCTGGAGTTGCAGACAATTGTGAGCTGCCATATGGGTGCTGGGAATTGAATCTGGGTCCTCTGAAAGAGCAGTCAGTGCTCTTTAACTACTGAACCATCTCTCCAGTCCCCTAACAAGATACTTTTTAAAAACCACTTACATGTCAAAACTTTAATACAGTTAGTTTTGACATTTAGCTTTATATTGGTAACCTAGTCAGTGAGGCTAGCTATTGGACAAACAATGTCACTGGGCATTGGTGGCCCACACCTGTAATCCTAGCACTCAGGAGGCCAAGGCAGGCAGACCTCTTGAGTTACAGGCTAGCCTGGTCTACAGAGTGAGTTCCAGGACAGTCAGAAACTTTGTCTCACAAAACCAAAAAGGGGGGGGGGGTGTCTATGCTGAAACAGTATAACCAAGAAAAGAAGGCTTTCCTATCATAACCCCACTGGGCTTTTCTTCTTCTGAGAAGTCTAGTGTAGCAGCAATTATACCTTCGCTAGTAACCAAAAGAAAACAGAAATATTTTATCCAAATAAGAAGAATTTGTTTGGTTCACTAAAATCTGAAGTGCTGAGTTAAGAGTGTCTGGTTGAGACAGTATTAGGGTTCTCAGCTCTGTCTTCCACATGTTGACCTAACCCTCAACTAATTTCCCCAACATTGGCTCCCTGGGGTACCACTTGGAGGGTGGAGAACATTCATCAGGGTCAGGATAAGTTGCTGACTTCACTCTGATTGCCATACCCTGGGCCATGACCCCATACCTGGATATATGCAACTGGTTACCCCCAAACCTGCACGAGAAAGTCAATGTCCCCTTAATTAGCCATATTTTGAAGCCTAAGACTTGCAGTTTTTCTCTGTAGGATGAACTGGGTTTTGTTTGTTTGGTATTTGTTTTTGTTTTGTTGTTGCTTTCTCGAGACAAGATTTCTCTGTGTAGCCCAGGCTGGTCTGGAACTCTGTAGACCAAGCTGGCCTCTAACTCGAGATCCACCTGCCTTTGCCTGCCAAGTGCGGAGATTAAAGGCGTGCACCCCACAGCCCTGCTTGTCTTTGTTTTTTGAGGTAGGGTCTTGCTATGTTGCCCAGGCTAGTCTCAGACTTACTCTTGCCCCAGTCATGCAAGCGCTGGAGTTACCAACATGTGCCTTCATGCCCATATGTGTGAGGTTTTATTTTTTTTCTTCTCTGTAAGCTTCAATGTGTTTTTATGATCACATTTCTTATGTGAGTGTTCCAATTTATAACAGCTTTTAGAAATCCAGGCTCAATTTGCAAGCATTGTTCATAAGCTAAGCCATGAGATGGGAGTTGTGCTGTTTCCTGAAAAGTATTGTCTTACAGCCGTGAACTATTCAGGAGCTGAACAAGCCATTTTTCCTAAGTGGAGTCTGGTTCTTGTACCATGTCACAGTTTTCAGAGACAATTTCTTTAACTCTTTAGTGATAATATACAGGAAACGTCAATCTTCACACAAAAAATGTAATCCTGATGTCCAAGTTAAAAAGCGAGCCAGAGCAGAACAGGAGCAGGGGCTGGGGAGAGAAGTCAGCGGAGAGGGAGTAGGGACCTGAGCTAGTTAGAAGCCCGGTGAGAACTTGGATCAGGCTGTTCAGTTTCCAGCTTGTTTTCAAGGCTGAAGGTCCAACCTTCCAGACAAGAACATGAACATCCACGCGCACACACAGTGGCTTGTGTGCACGCGTGTGTATCTAAGAGTTTAGGCACCTAGAATCGTTTTCATGTGACACTGGATTTGGATAGTGGCATTTTCTTCAGTAACATGGTCACCAGCCCGACACACAAGCTGGTGAAATGAGCAGAACCAACAGGGACAGGCGAGCCAGTAAGCAAGAGCTGTGTGTGCTCCATTGTTTCCTAATTTAAAAAAGAAGCCCTGGTTGTCCCTTGCTGCTTCTGAGAGATCCGGTCTGGACACTGTTGGCGCAGGTTAGTGTGACTAACTGGTACTCAGGATTTCGAGAAAAATCACTGCATGGTACAATAACAAACTGCCCAGTGGAATGGTCGCTTAAAAATAAACAAAGTATGTAAGTTACTACGTGAATCAGAGAAACTGTTTAGAAGTTGAAACGTTGTGATTTCCTGAGGCTCAAGCTTTCCAGAACAGTCCTGTGAAGTGATGAGGTACAGACACAAAAGTCAGGACTTGGGAGAAGAGTTCATTTGTATTCCTAGGTCTGCACTGTGTCCACGTGTAGCCGAGTAAACCCAACTGAGCATGGGCTGAGGAGTTTGGGTTTGCAAGGTCTCTTCTGGCATGTTTTCATTATAACCTAAGACACGCGTTGGTAAGAAATGTGGCTGTCCATTTTGATTCTGAGGACAGGAAAATACACTGCACAGAATGACGGCTCTTGCTTTTGCTTACCCTTAGGCTATAGGTAACAGATACTCATCCAAGTTATGATGAAGTAACTGTCATCCATTGTTTAATTGGTGTGCCTATGTCATTATATTTACAAAGTAATAGTCAGGAGATTGGAAATACACTTAGGTATTCTCTCATGTGAGCCTGTCCCAGTGTATGTCTAACAGCAAATAGATGTACCGTTTTCTGACCCACACTACTAGTGTAAGGACTTCAGGTAACTCCTGAGCAAATCACTTGGGATGTTCATAAAGGTTACTAACCTTTATCCAAGTATTAATGGCAGACATGCCATTCACCTTTGTAAACACAGAATTACAGTCTTATTTTAGAAGACAAATCTGAAATTCAGGTCAGCTTTTACCAGACTGGCGTGTTTAATCTTTGGATCTCAGAAATCAGATTATTAAAAAAATAAAATAAATCCTGAACCCTGTCATTCAGGTCAAATTTGGGAAGAAACGGTTAAAAGCACAGCCTGATAACGAACACCAGTGATTAATTGCTTTTTCAACATGTGGATTATCCTGGCGCCAAAAACCGCGGAACAATTGTCTAACAAATTGGAGAGTCCCCGATGTCAGCGCTCATATTTTCTTTGGATTTCACTAAGCAATTATGCTATACTTTCTAATGACTGAGTAAAATGGTATTGGGCCTTGGGGCGCATTTTGATGAACTGCAGTTGTACATTCAAAACCTAAGAGGCAAGTGCATAAAGAAGCATATTGTCCAGAGCAGACGTGCGTTTGACCTTGATGCTGGATTTCAGAGGGCTGCAAATGTCTGTCCTGAAACTCTGAATGCATTTGCCATTGGTAGTGCATCTGTTTATTGAGTAGTTGACAGAAAATTATCTCCAAGTAAAGGTTTGATTTCTGACTCATTTTGCCCTCGCAACTTGCTTCTTTCTAACTCCTGCTCAGACTCAGGTCCTTGTGTTAAATGTGTCCTTTAAACAGATAGACGCGATCTTTGCTTTTTTACTT